CATATATTTAAAATTAAAAAAAAAGTAAACTTAATCACCAGGTACTCCTAAGGCAGTCCACTGGCTCACAATAATTGTTTTTATGGCTGTAAAAGCCTACAAAAACTGTCTTGACATCCCTAAGATTAAAGTTTTTGTCAAGGAAAGAAAACAATGTATTAAAAAGGCTAATATATTTTATTGTGCTACATAAAGTTATAATGTTTTCTCATATACTCTACACTGTATTTTCATTCTCGGAATAGGATTTCCCAACTAGACGACCTTTTATCAGATTGTATTAGTATTTTTATCTTCCCCTTGACAGCTGCGATTAGTAGAGAAATCAATAGGATCATCAACAAAGTAACAAGAGACCATATAGCTAGTTTTACAGGAAATGGAACTACATGTGTTAACATGTTAAAAATGAGAGTATTTTTTTCCTTCTAGCATTGGAGGTTGAAGACTGAATTTAGATAGGTACTGATGTAACTTCCAGATCTTGATTTCCCCCTTTGAGACATCATGCTGAATACTGCTCACTGGATCTCTATTGGGAGTGGTAGAAATCATACTTTCATTCTACTTATGGTAGCTGCAAGATAATAACTCAGGAATAGTCACCAACATGGTTTGGGGAGCTTTGGTGATATTGTTCTTTGCACAGCAGGCATTAGGACAAATGTTTATCAGGAAAAAAAACCTGAGGGTTAAACAGAACTAAAGTGAAATGCAAGCATGTTTAAACAGTTTTTTCCCAGGCGTTGTTCCAGTTTTTGATCTGCATATCTCTACCAAAATTAAACGGTGTTTTAAACTTACCAATCTTTTGTATCCCTTATTTAATTTTTAACTCCTGACTTGAGAATTATTAATAACATTAAATATTAGTCTTACAGTGTTAGCTGACTAGTAAATGGAAAAAATGTCTAAGAAGTCTTATTATTACCCTTCCTGGAATCATTTCAGATAGTTAAAAGGTACAAAAGACATGCTAATATTAGAATCCTGCTAGTGGAGCTACCCAATGAAGAATAAGAATATTCAATATAATACCAATTAAAATGAGATATAAAAAGGATCTAATACTAATTGGTTTTATCTCTAAATTACTAAATAGTTATAGACTAGAGAAACAAGAATCCTATTATTTCTAATTATTTCTGTAACAGATAGCTGCAGTGGTTTAGAGATAGACAAAGGAATTCAGTTTTAGAATTGGTAAATCCTTGCTGGCATTTTGGATAAGCTAACAGTTACTAAATGCAAAAACGCAAGTGACTTGACCTAATGGGATTAAAGGTTTTTAATTTAAATAAAGGGATGAATATCAGTGGGTTTTCCTTGTTAGACCTCTCAATAAAGAGTGTTTTGGAACAGATAATTTAATGAATATCAAAATGTCATATTAGAAATAAATTCAATTTCTTTGTTCATTAAAGTTTATATTATTTCCAGACAGCACAAAAGACAGTATAACATGTATTTAGAGTGACTTGTTGCTACTTTAAGTTCTGATATAATTCTCAAAATCCAATTTATTTGTTATAGAAACAGATTAAATCTAATTTCTTGGCAGATCTTTTGCTGATACTATCTCACCAATTATTCTGAAACTAAATTGCAGAAACAATGGTTGTTTTTCATGGCACTATAATGCTGCTTCCTTTTCTCTTTAGCAATTTACTAGTTTGGGAGGAATAAGGTGAAAGCGTATAAATGTGGAATTAGTATCTCGTTGCAGGGAGGGGTATATTTAGCACTTGTAGATTTCCTTGATCTTTTCCTCTTTCCCAACACAGTGAAGGACTTTTTTCAGGGATTCATGGGTGTAACATGGTATATTGGTAACATCCCATTTTATCAACATGCAGTCTGCTAGCATATATGCAACAGTGTTGTAGTTCTTCAGACACAGAACGTTTGGGCTTTATTGACAGATTTCTCTGAATCTTATAATTTAATTAAATTTGTGAGATAGAGCTCTTCTTCAGTCATGAGTTGTACATCTGTTTCAAATTAATCTAAATCACACCTAATGTCTTTGCCCAAGTCTCTATATGTAAATGAATATCAATCACCATGTTGTCTCTGAATTTTTTCTAAAGCTGATTCTTGACTTTCTGAGTTTGTAAAGGAAGCTGGAAAAACAGTTCCTTAGTAACTTAAATAATATATATGTTTTATATTCAGAGGGATTCATGTACCAGTAACCAGTTATTTTATGCCCATTCGATTCTCTGCTCATGGAAAAAAGTATCAGACTGGTTTTATAATGCTACATGATGTCAGAGAAGCCTGAAGACCATTTTCAAAAGGCAGCTAATCCACTAACATGAATTCCCAGCCTGCTAGAACAGCTCTGTAGTGTGTGCTGTGATTTCTCAGTGCTCTAGTACAGGCATAAACCACAGTGACCACCACAGTATCCCTAGATACTTCAAAAATCTGCTAGTCAGTCTGTTCGTACAATGAAATGACAAATAGTTCCATAAGGTCCAGGATAAATTAACTGCAGTTTTCTATGCATTTGTGTCTTCTAGTTGTTCGACATGCCTGTTTACAAAAATACAAGATTGAGCTAAAGTGTAGCTCACTGATGAGATTTTATAGGGCTTTCTTCCATCTGGTGTCATTTGTAGCCGTGCTGTAACTTTCAGAGATGCTGCTTTACTACTTGGCCTGGCTATTTTCGTAAAATTTGAGTGCAGTTAATGAACTTTAACAACTCCATCCTCTGTCAGATTTGGTTAAGAAATTAAGAGCTTCTGGTGGACCCATGCAGAAGCAGAATTTATGTACAAAGTATCTGCATCAGAAAGAACTACTTGGGGGGGGGGGGGAAGGGGGGGAGAGAGGAGGAGGGGAAGGGCTTTACTTACTCTTCTAACCTCATTTACCCTTTTCCTTACATTGTGGAAAGGAGGGGGCGTTAGGGGGAAGACTTCTCTTCAACTGTGCACTAATTGCAATTTATTGCTCTGTTGTCTTTTACAGTTCTGGGTTTCTCCAGAGCAGAGAAAACATGGGGAAACACAGTTTACAAATATGTATTTTCAGCCTTACCATGGGGGGGCCATACATTCCAGCTGGCAACACATTAGCTTCTGATTTGGAAGCCATGAGCTTTGTTCCGGCTCAGTTCTTAATTAACTTCATGTCCTGAGGTTTGTTGTCTCAGATTTCATTCATATACTCTAATACAATGGAAATACATTTCTGATATCTGTGAATTTGGGGCTAGATCCCTTACAGTTCTATTTCTGAACTGTAACTGAATTTAAATTAGTATTTTTTTGAATGAGAATAATATTTATATAAAGTAGGGTTATAATTTTCTGGTCTTCACATGAAGAATCTTTTAACTGCTAAGGGTTTATAACAACTAATTAAGAGACTGGAAAGGTGCCATTTGTTTTGTGAATTGGAATTCCAGCTGGTCTTGGGTTTAGTACAATAGATATGTTCAATGCCTGTGTATCTGCATGCGTCCTCACAGAAGAAGCCAAGATTTAGCTTGTGGAGGTCCATTGAGAGGAATTCAGCAGGAGTCTTGGGTATGTCCTTCTGTACCTGGTGCCCTAAAATCATTCCATTAGTGTTTCATGCAAGTAAGAAATTAATTCCCAGCTCTACGAACCCTAATAACATTTAAGAGAAATGTATATTTGTACCTAATATTTTTAAAAAGAGTTCCAAATGAAAGCATTTAGAAAATATTACCCCAGAACCATGCCAAGACAAAGCAGCCTTGCATTTTCTACTGTTTAAGGAGCTGTGTGAATTAGAACTTGCCACAGTGTTCTAATTTGCACAACTCACATCTGAGATATTTTCCCAATTTAAAATTAATATGAGTTTACTTTTTGTAAATTTTATGGTGTAGTCATTTTTGCTTAAATCACTCAGAATGTATTTTTGTTCTTTAAAAAATTAATCTTTTGGAATTAATCTTGGAAGTTTTCCAAGAATGTTTTTAACAGCTATAATTGGTTCAAGATCAAATCACTTCTTACTTTACACCTTGGAGGTTGTTATGAATTTCTGCATTTCCATTAAATGATCCTATATTTTCTTCAGTAAATGCTATTTAACTATTCCAGTAATTAATAAAACCAAAGAGGGGTTCCTACTGTGAGTCTTGCCTACATGCTTTTAAGTCTGTGTATCATAGGTGAGGATATGCTTGTAAAGTCTGACATTTAATTAAGTTGTTTTGATCTTTTGTTCTCCTTTTTGCACATATTAATTATTATACCTATGAAGTCTAATTCCATTGTTTGATATGTGTTGATGTTTTCATAATATAACAAGGCTTCGTTTCTTGTGTACTAGAGTTATTGTTTAACTGTGATCACAAGATACCCAAAGCTTTGTAACATACAAGAAAAATATGCTCGTGACCCAACTTTACAGTACTGATTCTTTTCCTTGTAGGGTAAATGTCAGTAATTTGAACATGTGGATTGATTTCCTTTTTAATGGGTACGTTTGATATAATGGGACTAAATTCAAAGCTTTAAGAAGGAAACACTTTTAAAAGCACAAAAGGAGTGAGCCCTACTTCTTACAGTATATGGTTTTTAATGATGAGTTTGCCCAGTTCATTTCAGTAGGATTTACTGGATCTCGTGCAGTAATGCAGTCATTTGAAAGAAATGTCCATTTTCTCTATAAGTAAATATGCATCTGAAACGTCTTTCCAATAAAGTTCATGCACTAAGTGCAATTGTAATTTGACTCTCTTGGTAGGTTGGTTTTGGTTTTTTTCTTCCATCCTACTTCCCTAGGCTAGACCTGATCCCTCCCTGGCAACTGTTAGTGAACCTGTTTGGAATGAATGACAGCAAACAGTATAAAGATGTTACGCTGTCTGATGTGTCTGAAAGGGACTACAGAAAGGGAGTCTCATATGTAATAGGAAATTTTTATCCAAATTGCTTACAGAAAAATGTTGTTGCATTAACCAGTGATTACAGTGATTTTAAAAATTAACTCAAAAATTATTTCTCACTTCATTGAACTAGCCACTGTTCAAAATCATTGTGCTGAATACTTTGTAAGATGGAACGTTCTTTTGATTTACTTATGTTGGCCTTTAACAGTCTATACTATGAACTAACTTGGAAAGTGAAGCAACGGGTCAGAATTCATGCTGGGGGGGATAAATGAATACAAACTGAGAGATTTTTCATATACTTTGATCCACATTAACTCTTTAATACCTTGCAGGTTCACAATTATGTTTAGAATATATTTTGTCAGCTGTACGTTCACAGTTTTGCCCATATTTCCTCAAGCTGAAGGGACGAACACAGAAAGGTACAGAACTGATTTGAAATGTCTATAAACCTCAAGTCCAAAGTTTGAAGCTTTGTCTAGCATTCATGGAGTTTGGTCTGATTCTTTCACAATGTCTTGCCTACAAAACCAAAGTATTTGCTTTTGTCTTCATCCACTATAACAGTTAGTTACTCATGTCACTTAGTATGAAACTATATCCTTTTACCTTAGCTTTATGTGTGTTACTTAATGCACTGGGAATGATAGTCATCATACAGTTATTAGTTTACATAAAAATAAATAGCAGATCAAATACTTGGTTACATTCTTCTTGATCCAAATATATGTGAGGTGTATTTCAAAGTCACCTAGATAATATATTTGAATTTTTTCAGATTTATTGGAGCTTAGATGGTAGGAGCTTTTCCACTGTTTAGGACATTTATTTACATAACTGGAGAATGTACGATTTTTATGAGCTAAAATATTGGTTCTTCCTTTCATTTGATTTAATGTTTAAAAGATTTATTTATTTTTTTTAGTACAGAAGAAACAGTCAGTTGCATTTCTAGAATTCTCTGATTATTCTAGTAAATTCCATGATTACTCTAGTAAACTACCCTAAGCTTTTGCGATTTTACAAGGAATATGTTTTCTAGAAAATACTTTTTGAAGTGGTCATTGTGAACTCTTTGCAGACTTCAAGATGTTAAGGATTGTATTATTACTGTTGTTTTGCTTGAAGATAAAGGAACAGTTCGCAATACCAGAAAGATCTCCAGAGCTTCATATGTGTCTCGAAAGGTTTACAGGAAAATAACTGAGTGGAAACTCCAAGTTTTTTGACAATATGTAATGCTGCTGATCCTCTTCTGAGTTTGGTGGTGTCCTTCATGTTTCACATAAGTGCTATGGAGTAGATGAGGGATATTTTTCCATTATTTAGGTAAAAATCAGTGCTCACAAGGATTATTGTAACTGGATGATACTTTATTAATTAGTAGACTTGTCCTTTTTTGTTGACCTTATTATGCAGGCATGCCTTAAATCAAAACTCTTCTGAGAGGTATTGTACGTACCAGTCCTCTCTGCATTATATCTTGCTCCCTTGTGGCCTATATACATAGGCTGTACAAACACTGTAAAAGCTCAGTGGAAAACCTTTCTGGCAGGTGGTAATTGGGAATACAGTTCTAGAGGCAGATGTCCATTCCTAATACCTTCAAGTACTGTGCCTCAAATATAGAACAGTTAAGGATATAAAGTCTTTGGTTAGAAATAGATTTGCCTTTGTGGTTTTGTTTTTCTATTAATGAGGTTTTGTATTGCTTGCCTGGAAAATAGCTATGACCCTATGTGTACTGAGAAAGTAAGTAATCACCTAGACAAATGATAATTGTTATTCTTATCTGAAAAAAAAAAAAAAGAAGTGAAAGAATAACAAAAGACTTGTCACCAAAAACACCGTCACCAGGTAATTTTTCAATATTGAAAATATGATCTAATACAAGTCACAAAAGCTAAATTCCAATGCAATGAGGGATGGTCAGATAGGCAGTTCTTCATAATGGAGGAGCAAAGTGTTAAAAACAAAGGAATGACCTGCAAAATGATCCTGTATGCATGAATCAATCATGTAAATGTTAAAAAACTCAGAACCTTGATTATAAGGTAATAAAGATTAATTATTCAGCTACATAAAACTAAACTGGAATTCATCTTTGGATATGCAGAGCTACACAGTGATGCTTCATTAATATTTAAAATCACTATGGACAATGTTCAGACCTTGATATCATCTCTTAAAATCGTGTCTCACCTATCTAGAGAGTAGTTGTTAACACAGTCCAGTGGATTTTCATGCCACTTAAGATGGCTTAATTTTTAGTTCTTACTCTGATATACTTGCTGCGCAGTGATACTACGTACTACATACCCATTTTCATACAATAACTATGAAAGAAAATTTTAATTGAAGAAAATTACTGCAAGTTTAAAGATGATATGTGAATTTGATAATTAATAAGTTTGATCAATATAGTAATGAATTTAATAAATTATGTAATCTTTTAAGACAACAAAAAATAGCCTCCTATTCTGTATAAAACCACAGGTTTTCTGGATGATGTCCAGAAGCTCTCCACCTCTCACTTACCAGCACGAGGGAATGTGGCACACTACAGCATCATATGAACTGATTGTGATTGCCTGCATAGCTTTTTCCCCATCCATTTCAATCAGAAATCTGCTCCAGAGTATGAGCCAACCATCGTGTTTCTATGAGATTTGCAGCAGCTATATCTGACACCCATCGCTGTGCTTCTGTCGCTGTGCTCTGTGGTGCTTCTGACAAATCTGTTTCCCTCAGATTGGCTTTAGCCGCTCTGTTCGGTGTGCCTGCAGACTCTTTTCATTATAAGCAGTAGGGTTGTGGGGAGGAAGAGAATAAAGAAGAAACAAATAGATTGATAAGAGTGATTTGAGGAGAGAGAAAAAGTCTGCACAGCAGAGCATTTTTAAGTTTATGTTATTGCAATTTGTGTTTCCTCTTCGGCAAGAGGGAAGCATCAAGTTTTAATAACAACATGTGACAGGCTGAAGGGAAGGGGTGATAGGATTTTCTTGCTTTCTATTCAGCAGCTGTAAGCAGCTGTTTGTCCATACAAAAGTAAGTACCTAAGAAAAAGTTGGGTTGGAAGTAGAAGAATATACCTGTGGCAGGTAATAAGTATCACAGTATCACAGTATCACAGTAGGTTAGAGATTGGAAGGGACCTCAAAAGATCATCTAGTCCAATCCCCCTGCCGGAGCAGGAACACCTAGATAAGGTTACACAGTGAAGCAGACCATGGAAGTAACTGAAGATTTGAACATAACTCAGCCTATTTAAATAAGTTATATGTGTCAAGACCATCATCAAAACCTCCTAATGATAAGAAAAACCTGAGTATGGTTATGTCTTAGAAGAAAAAATCAACAACCCTTGAGTATATTCTTTTTGGGCAAAGACATAGAAAAGGTAATTGTGAATTAAATCCAGCTTCACAGAGAAGGTAAATGAGAATCAACTCCAGCTGTGCCTGATTTCCATAAGTGTCTGAGATTGCAGTTCAGGCTACAGGCCTACATATAGCACAATTTACTGGATGCTTCTTACTGCCCTTGAGAAAAAAAACCAAACCAAATCAAAACAAAAGCTTCATTTATGCTGATACTGCTTCAACAATATGTTATTGGCATGCTTACACAGTGTGACAGAGCTAAGCTAATCACATGCAAAATATTAAGATAGATGCTGAACAAATGTGTTTGCTTCCCAAAATGTAATGACTGCATGATGTTTTAAGTAGGACTGATTGTGTTGCTTTACATTTTCCACTGGAGTGCTGTGTTCTGTTGTCATATCCATGCCAAACTATCACCCTTTCATTAATTAACACAAGCACAGTCATAGGATACATAGTCCAACCAAGTAATATTATATCATTTCCACCATAAGGGTGTGTATATATACATAGTTCGGCATAGTAATAATCATTCCATCAGTGTCTTTATGTATCTGCAATTTTAACTTATAATTGTCTTCTTAGTATATTGTCATTTCCACATCCCCTCCTACTCATTAATGGTATTTATGTATTCAATTAATGCATTTCTTTCAAGTAAAAGGTTATTTTATGACTAAAGCTGCAAGGAGAAAGAAAAAAAAAAAAAGAAAAAAGAACTATCTATGAGTGAGTGGAATAAAATTAGACCTTTTGTGAGTAAAGGGCCTTGGAATGCCAGAGGATCCCAAATGCCTATTGTCTGGGGAAGAAAGTGATTTATAATATATGCTAGATGAATTCAGTGTTTGAAAATTAGCAAGGCGATGAGGTTGATTGTTCCAGGACTGCTTTTATTAAGAAATCTGGCATTGTGCTATACATAAGGTCCATGTTTAAATGCTCCCTATTTGTCATATAACTGGCATAGTCCCATAGTGCCAGAGTGTTTTGATGAAATAGTGGCAGCTGAGGACTGACAGATAGCTGTCATCTAGATCGACTGTTCCACCACAGAGTTTTATTTAATTAAGCAGATATGGAAGAGATACTTTTTGCTATTGGAATTAGGTGAATAAAATAGTATAAAACCCAGTAACTTTTTACATGACTTTTGTTTAAAAAAGAAAAAGCAACCAACCAACAACAAAAATCCAAACCACCTGTTTCTATCATTTCTTTCTAGTAAGAAAAAAAGTTAAAGTCACATCAGCTGCTGAGTTGAAACCTTTTGTTGCATGAGGAGGACTAAATCTATGTGCTAATAGGTAAGTTAAGTATAAACCATAACCATCCAAAAGTGGTTTTGCTCAGAAACTAACTTTTACGTGTCTAATCTCTGGACATACAATCTCTTCTACATTTCCTGACTAGAACATGAGGTGGAATTATGTCCTAAGAAAAGTTATCTAAACACCTGTGTGGTAAGTAGAGGCATATGAGGCTATGTGGCAAGATGTTTCAAGAAATCTGCTTTCCTCCTCTGTTTAAGGCTAAGTTGCCCTAGACTTTTACAGTCAAGCTCTGTCTGCTTGGGATATGCAGACCCAAAGCTCCCGAAGTTATACACCTAAAACTGTTCTTTGAAATAAAGAACATTAGCGGTTTTCTTTTCAAATGTTCCCTGTGGAGAAGAAACCTCATAGCTAAGTGTGAGGTTTTTTGCTGTGAGATATACATGGAAACCCTCTCAGGATGAAGAAGGAATTTAACACATTTCCTATTTGCGGTGAGTGCTCTCCCTGTTAGGCTATTACACCATCCTTTTCTTGCAGTCATTATGAAAGGATATTTAGCCGTACTTTCATTGAGAGTAAATTCTGCTTGTACATTATGTATATTTTCCACCACCACCCCACCCCCCTGGATTGCACCCTTCAGGATTTAAGGAATCCTCTGCATAATTTTTGGATTCCTTTCAAGCTTAAGACAAGCTAAATGAACTGCTAAAACTGGAATAGTTTTGAACATGCTCTGAAACAGACTCTTAGGTCCTAGAGGAATTAGGCTAAGTCAAACAAAGGAATACCTCTGTGGTTAGATAGTAGTAAGACTGAAGCTTTTTCAATCACAGTTATAGACTTTTCCTCAACTGCAGTTGAATTCAGGGGAGAAGGGTTGTTAAGAAAATCTCTAACCATTAGCATTTTGCACAGCAACACCCAAAAACTTGAGAGACATAATGTGCAACTTGGTAGAGAGACAGAACGCTTGACTGTGAAGACACTGGTGTTAGAAAAGATGGATCAAAAACCTGAAACATACCATATTTATCCAGGAAGGAAATAAAAAACAGCTTGCGTTTTTTCTCTTGGAGGATATCTCTTCCTCCTCTCTACTCCTGTAGAATAACCAATTTTAGCTGTTTCTGTTCTCCTATTTATCTCAAACGTATTAAAGGAGGAAACTCGGAATACATCTTCTTTTGTCAAGGAAATTACAGATAGCAGTTTCAGTCTTGGAGTAATCTTAAAATTGTCCATGGCCAAATTCAACAATACAACCCAGTGCAGCCAAGTACTTCAGTATGCACATAATTTTATTCACTTACTTAAATCCCTTTGACTTCAAGAGAATTTGAGCAGTGCTTAAGTGCTTTGCTGCAAGAGTGCCTTAAATTGGTAGATGGCAAATTTCAAACAGAAAAAGGAAGGCCACAGTTTTTGCAGTCCCTGCTGGTAGGTGCCTGAAAAATTGGTTTTTTTTTTTCGGATGATCCTGTAATTCCTGCTGCCTCCAACTTTTCTTTTATTCTTTTGGTGGGGTTTTTTTAGAGCTATTTTGTTCCGGTTTTTTTTTAGGATCCTCAATTATACACCATTCCCTGCCTCATTCCAAAACTAAAAGAAGAGATGCTCTGGTCTGGTTTCGACAAGCGATGTTTCAGCAATTGCACACAGTGGAGATTTTTTCAAGGCACATCAGGCATATCCTGTATCAAAACGGATGGACCATGCAAGAACACACTTCCAGCACTTAACAAGGTAAATAGGAAAAATTTCTAATGGGTTATTTTCAAAAGTAGTTAGGTGCTAACCCTAGTGAAAGTAAGTTATGACTTTGAAAATGTCATCTTTTACATTTTATTTACATAGTTTACATAGATACTGTCTTCTTAATGTGATAACTGATCTTGAATATGATCAAATTGTCATTCCACTTTACTGGCAAAAAGACCACAAAGTGTTAAGATGATTAATGTAACTGTCAGGTGATATATTCATAAATTTAGCTGACCTAATTCATATACAAAGAGATAATATATATCAGAGTTTATGTGCCTCACTCACATTGCAGAAACACAGCTTGTGACTTGAGTAAATGCATACTGAATTACAAATATGAAGAGAAGGGAAAAGAGGAAAAGAGGCTTGCTGTGTTTTTATGCTTTTATTTCAAATAAATCTTTAGACACACATCTTTTTACCATATAAAACATAATCCTCACTCTGATTTGAAATGATGGATTGCACAAAAGTTATTAATTAAAAAGTTAATAATTAAAAACAGTTTCTACGAAAAAGAGGGAGAGGTGATATTACAGTGTCCTGTGAGGAAACCTAAGCTTTGTGCTGTTGCTCTTTTCCCCACTGAACAGAACAAACTTTTAGCACAAAACCTGGATCTGTTGCTCAGATAAGAAACGGAATGTATGTGGCAGGCATTTAATGAAGGTTCACTGCTGGTCAGACTCTGCCTTTTAGAACCTGTCCTCAGTGTTCTGGGAGAACAACATTCTTTTCAAAAGAAGCACTCTCATGTGCATTAAGCAAGTGGAGATCTCACTAGCTGTAGCAAGGAAATAAACTGCATTTCATATGGGCTTTTTTTTTCCAGAATATTTTTTCAACTAAGTTAGGAGAATAAACAGAAAAAACTCTTAAGGTACAGGCTCCCATGGCATACCTGTACTCAGCCTTACCTTAAACACTATGTTTATGAGGGCCTGTGCTACACCCCAAGCTACATATTCTCAATCCTCGTTTGGAAGTTCTAACATAAATATGATATATAAGATGATAATTGTTCTGAATGGCACCATTTTTGTTTCTCCTCTTTTCTTTCAAATACTGCTGAATACTTACCCAATCATCGCAGCTAGTTAATGAGCAGCTGAATTGAATAACTCTTAGTGTATTTTCATACCATTTTAATTGTTTTAAGTAGCCTGCTATGTGAGTGTATAAAGTCTTTAAAGAATCTATCCAGAGAGCACTTTGGAAACACTTTTTTCTTTTTCTTTTTCTTTTTCTTTTTCTTTTTCTTTTTCTTTTTCTTTTCCTTTTTCTTTTTCTTTTTCTTTTTCTTTTTCTTTTTCTTTTTCTTTTTCTTTTTTTTTTTTTTTGGTTCTTCTTTGAATGTTATTGATAGTGTGGAACAGTCCTAAACACTTGCTTGAGTCCTCTGCTAGAGCTTTTTGTTTTCACTAGAAACTGGTGGAGATCAGCACTTTTTTGACACTCCTTGTACCAAGTGCTTATAAAGTGTTTATATCTATAATTGTGTCAAATTATGTTGATTAAGCGCTGAAAGACATGAGTAAGTTGAAGTGCTCAAAAAGTGCATTACTCTGAGTGTCACCCAGGGACTCTTCACATCAGACACTTGGGGGACAATTTTTTTTCTTCCAAGCACCTTTAGAGCACTATGGTTTAAAGTGTCTTTCTAGCATTAATTAAATTAAAAAAGCAAGTGCCAGTTAAGTGCACATGATTTACTCTGATCTTCTGAAATGCAAATGTATTTCAGGCTAAAATGGCCTTCCCTCTTTACAATTCACCAGTTGCCTCCTCAGTTGTACCCCACACCTTTTCTGATGGAGTATTCAACCTCTAAAGAGAACCATGGGAAAGGCTTGGAGTTAATTCCGTTATGAGTCATCGGACAGAATATAGAGCTGTCCAAAGACTCAAATACCCATATTAAGGTATCTAATAGCCTTATGAAGAAAAATCGTATTAGCTTAAGGGGAATGCTGTGTAGACCTGGACCATTCTGAATTTGTTCTTCTTAGGCCTGCCCCTCCCCTCTGGGTTACACAGTGAAATTTATGCTGCAGGTTTCTAAAGTAGCTGCAGCAGACAAGAGTTACAGTTTCCTTCCAGTGAACTTTAATCATATGTTGGTCATTAGCCATACGCTAGAGTCATGTACATGACAAAGACAAAATGGTTTGGCCATGATGGTCTAGCAAAATGGAAGCTTATGCCCCACGTTAGAATATTGATCTCTACTGCTGTTGCAAAATGGAAGAGCTTCGTACAGCACTGTAGCTATTTAGTGTGAGGACAGTACAAGAAAAATACAGTTTCTAAAAGAGAACAGTTGGAAGGTAGAGACAGCAGCACAAGGACACCAAAACTTGGTACATTTCCCTGAAGAGTAAAATAAAAAAAATAAAATTCTGAAGTCTGATAAAAAAACAACCAGTCACTTTTAAGAATGTTATTATTGAATATCCTACTTCAAGGGCTATTCTGTTTCATGATAGAATATTCTTCTTTTAGGTGTGACGATAACAAGCCTTACATCACCTAATTCTGACTAGACTCTATTAAAATTATTTTTTCACTTTTCTGAGAAACTGTATTTAATCCCTACGTCAATGTGCTGAGAAAGATAGTAAAGATATATCTGAACTTTAAACATCTTTAATCTTTCTCTTTAGCTTTCATTCTTGTTGCACAGCCTCAGCAATCAGATTTCAACACTCCATTCCTCAGAAAAACTCACAGATTTAGAAACCATAGTGAGATAAGATTCTCCTTTGACCAACAGATACATTCCGCTACATCTTTGAAAGGTCTTTTAAATAGCAATGTCTACTGAACTCTTCTAAATAGATAGAATTTTATTTGGTAATGACTAGAAAGTAGCAGACAGGTGGCAGAAGTCCACAGGAGTGTAGAGCTGAGCTGTATACTGCACCTAAGGAGACATCCCAGTCAGTCCTCACTGGAAGCATTATCTGAAAAGTCCTTTTTAGCCTAGAGTTTGTAAAGTGAATTGTTCTTAACTTCATTCCCTGGGGAAAGATATCCATTTCACAAGTGTCACTCTCAGTGTAGCAGCAGTGAAGAAGCCAAGAACTGAGTAAACATTGAGCATGTTTTAGCAGTTCAAGGTAAAATACATTGTCAGGGCATCTGAAGCCTTTCTCAACAATTGCTTATACTATGTATGTAGTGGAGTGGCTTTCACTGCTATATAAAGCAGAGGCTTTATGCTCTGCAGATCCCATTCCAGCTCTTACCTGCAGGTTGATCCAGTTATTGGTGAAGTCAGTTACCAAGGGACTGATTTAGAGTGAGCTGAATGAAGTCTCCAGAGTATCAATTAAATGTAGAAAAGAAAATTTGAATCGTGATTAGTTTGAACTGTTATTGTCTTCTGTTTGGAAGGAAAGGAATCAGTGCTCTGTTTGTCTTCTGTAAGGTTACCTATTATACATCGTATCCCTCTTTTCTGTCCTTCTAGCTACTTGATTGCCTATTTATTTGCAATAGTCTTCAGAGGTAATGAACAGATTGAATTTAGATAGAGGGCTCAGATTCACTGTTGGAACAGCTCTGATGAAATAAGTGGAATTAGCTAGGAGAGTCAAAATACTTTGTGTTCAGCAACCATAAGCTGTCTGGCCTGTTGATGACTTCTAAAATCCCGCCAGCGGGTAATAGTGTGTGGTTGTACAGCCTAATTTTAAAGGTCTGAAAGCCATTGAAATATAGACTGCATTACATTACCTAGATGAAGCAATTGTCAGAATGAGTAAAACTAAGCATTTGGAGGAGGGACTACTGAGAAAATAATTTTTTGCATTTGGGTAATGTTTCATTTGGTTAGGTACTATTTTTTTCATTCCTGGGAAAGAAATCTGGATTAGTTTGGATCCAGTTCTTTTTATTATAAGGTACATACCATCCACCAAATGTTGTGAGTAGGTAAGATAAATGGTATTGGTTACCGTTATATAAATTAATTTGTAATCACAGCATCATCCAACAGATACCTTCCAGCATTGTTACTGTTGTACATACTGCAAGCATTCAGTAATTCTGAGGTACAACAAGTCTTGAAAAATCACAAGTTATCTGACAGACCTTAGGACATCTGCTGCTTGTCTAACTAGGAAGAGAAAGACTGATGAGCATTACAAAATCAGAGGATCATTAAGGTCCAGATTTAAAGCCACAGCCATGTAAAAAGTAGGACAGAATGGGGCACAAACACAATGAAGTTTAAAAGAGAAGCTTCTAAGACACAGGGGGAAAAAAAAAAGGAAGTCCTTGGAGCAAGAAGAATGAATATTTAACTACAAATACATGCTTTGATAACCTGGCAGGGCATAACACTTTGTACTGCTGGCCATGAGGGTTTCTAGGATATGGCTGTACTAAGCTGTGGTGTACCAGAAGTGCCATGAAGCTTTTAGACCTTCAACTCATGAAAACAGAAATGGTGAGTCGATACTTTTTACTTTCCAGTATCCCATTTGCATGAGGGAATGAAAATGTAGCCTTCAATAAAAATGCCTTATTTGATGAGTATCTTATGCTACAGAAATATTTTAATAAAATGTTCATATATGACATACTTGGCAATTATTTTCCATTGCTCTAAACCTTTATATATCTTCCTTATGCAGTCACTTAGTACATAACTCCAATGATGTGGTTTTCCCTTTACACTTACAGTAAGTTAGTTTTCATAAGGATGAGAAAGTGCCTCCTGAGACAACACATTGCTGAGAAGAATTAGAACACCAAAGGTAATAGATCTCTTAATTTAAGATAGAGCCACTTGCCATTTCTGTTCCTTTAAAAAGCAGTCAATTCTAATTATAGAGATTTATCTTGGATTAAGGAAGAAAAATATGAAAGTAAGCACTGCTGCTTCTACACTAGCTCTAGGGTTAAGGCTTTTCTAAATGGGAATTATGCTTAGCGAGGACAGTAAAGTGCCATCAAATTCTGAATTAACTGTTCATATGATGGAAACTTTGTTGTTCTGAAACTATTTTCCTTTTCACTGGCAGTTACTGCTGTTAGGGAAGAAAAGAAAAAAAGTGAGGGGGAGATGCTTTTTGAAAGGAGAAAAGCACTTCTAATAGTTCTTGTAAAGTTGTATTCAATATAATCCACAGAATATCAAAATTCAAATGGAAGAAAACACTTGTGATCCATCTTAACTTGAATATTATTGGAGTCCAATGCAAACAGCAAATGTTTCAATAAAAACTACAGACACTCTGGTTGAAAAATATTAACATGGAAAGAATCACTTTCAGTGCAGTTTCAAAGACAACTGTTGCATTTCCTCATCTTCCCCTTTTGCTCATGTCCCTGGAATGTTTTTTATTTTATCATATCTTCCTTTTTTCTGATAGTGTTTGTTCTCCAAATGGAAATTCTTTAGTACTCATCAAGATATCTGGTATCCTTCCCTGAGATATAATTTATCATGGACTGTTTATCACTTTCCTTATCTGGGCCACAGATGTGCTGGTCTGTATTTGGAGACCTCATTCTTTACTGAGCTATCAAAAAATCTATGGGGAGGAATGGGGCAACAAAAATCAAGCCACCTCCAAGAAACAAGGATTCACAGTCTTTGAAACTTTAAAAATCTTCAGTTCTTCTTTTGTCCTTGTCACACTCTCATTGTAGGAAATGTGATCTGAGTTTATTTAGTAAAGAAAAAGATCAACTTTATGCCAAACTTTCTGGTATTTCATTGTTACCCATATGAGGAGAGTTGTAGAAATTATGTTCTACCTCTCTCAAAAATCTTGGTATTGATATTGCACAGCCTGCAATATTTAGCCTCAGTCTGGTTCCGATGCAGAACTAAGGAATCAGAGTATGTTTTTAGTGCATTTTATTATGGGTATCTGTGATCTAACCCTAAAAACTGCAAGCATCTCTTAAACCATATATTCATAAAATATAAAGCCAGAGAAGACTTTTAATATCCTCTGTTAAATGTAAAAAGAACCCCATATATATTCCTAACATGTTTTGAGTGTTTTCTGTAAGCAGCTTAGGTAGAAAACTGACACATGGACAATATAAAAATTTGGAATTAAAATAAATATCAAGAACTGAACAATATCTATTTTATTTTTCATGTTTTAGTAAATCAGTGTTCTCAAACTAATATACTACCGAATGATTAGAAGTTGTGTTCTTTCAACTTCATTATACTTTTTTATAGATCACATTATTCTTGAGTTTCTTAATGCAAATATGCCTGGAGTTACATTTTCCTAAGAAAATATCCACAAAATGAGAAGTCACCAAGAAGGAACTCCTGAACGGTATCTACATGTACAAAATGAAATGATAAATACATATGAAAGATCAGTGTAAATTTGTAAGAAGTATATCCAAAACAATTACAATGCAACCTAAGTCAACTTCAAAGAAAAATGTGGGCAAGTTTAACTGCAATGGTTATTTGAGGTAGTTGGCTGAGTATAGATGACAACTGAAAATCTGTTCATATATTGATCAACTGCAAGAAGAGAAAGAACAAACAAAACAAATAACAAGCTCTGTGGCAGTGCAAACACCCGTTTGAATTTTGCCTATTGGGCATTTGTTATGTTACTTTTCTGTGTGATGAATGGAAACATATGCTCAACACCAACTTACCCAGGCATGGTGCAGTGGATGCACTAAGGACGTAAACAAGAGTTCAGAGTCTTTGCCTAATTAACAGAAATGTATCTTCAGGAGATTGGACTCTACTACCCATTAAGCCTCTTCCAACGAACAAGGGCAGAGATGAAAAGAGAAACTTTGCAGCATGGTGAGAGGTGAGAAGTTTGCAGAAGACTTAAGAATCTAAATGAGCTGTCCTGAGATCTCCGTTTCTCCAGCACCAGCAGATTGGATGAACACCTGGACTTATTTTGCAACTGCAGCAGGGACTGCATCTCTGTGGACACCCCAGGAGACACCTACATAGCAGCAGGAAAATTCCACAGAGATGACACTTCTAAAGACATCACCCAGCAGGAGAGAGCTAAGCAGGCAGCACAGGTGACAAGGAAGTGCAGTAGTGCTTTATCCTGCACGCTGGAGAGGAGCCTGTCCCAATGTGTATGGGGCACTACCCACAATCAGGTGTTCTAGGCCCTGTTTGGAGGTGTATTTTACTTTTTAACTGATTCCACAATCTGCTGCTGTGCTTTCCCAGACTAGTACTGTATTGCAGTTTCATGCTGTATTCCAGTTCCATTTAATGAAACTATTTGTTTCGTACCAAAACTTCTGGTTGCAATTGGAAATGTATTGTCCAGTGAGTGATCCTGAGAAAAATGTTTCTCCTGTTTTTGAAGGAGTGGGAGTATTGAGCTGGTTTTAATACTTGGCCCTTGCTACTATTGAAAACTCCTGACAGAGCACTCAAAATACTGTGTACGCTAGGAAAAAAATATCTCCAGTAAATAAAGTGGTAGTAACTCAATATTATAGTCATTAGTAATCGAATTAGAAATCATTAGAAATCTAAAAGAGTAATTCTTTCAGCAAACCTGAAGAAGGCTTCCAGAGTTAATGAATGATTCAATCCATAACTGGCCCGAAAGAGGAGTATTAAATACATTTGTTTAAGATGAGTACCAAGCTTTGGCCAGGAGGAAAATCTCATAGATATTCTGCATTTAAGTGTCACTGAAACAAGTCTGCCTGGAGTATGAAGCTTCTGGTAGCACTGTGACCCCTCTTATCATTTACAATTGAATGCTACTTTTACATGGGGCTAAACATTTCTGAATTTCCTTTTTTCTTTTTTTTTCTTTCCCCCAGAATGTTTCCCTCACAGCATAATCAACTGTTGCAAGTTTCAGATTTGAAATTAACACACTTGATCAGACACAGGATTATTTATTGCTTCTTACAAAGTATAAATGAAAAACTTTCACACTTCCAATGCAAAAATGAAAACAAAACCTGGCCAGATCTGCAGACTTATCCAGATATTAAAATGAAACTTCAATAGTGGTATATTTTCTGCTGGAACTCTTACAGACTTCTTTAAAAGAGCTCAAATTTTCTCTGCAGTGGAACAACCCAAGGATATGTAGCAAGCATCCAATATTCTGTTATTCATCTGTAACAATGCCAAGAGTAAAAGGGGAGGAACTGTTATTTAAAAGTCTGTAGAGACAGTACTTGGTTATTTTCTTTAACTCAGTGATGAATCTGCTTTTAATATATGTGGAGAACAAAGCAGTTCAGACCATTACACTTTCTAAACAGAATGTAGGAAGAGAGACAATTCCTCATGCACTTGAATGAGGTGCTTGTAGGCAATGCTTGTCTAGCACACCACCTCTTCAATTTTCAATCCTGCATTGTAAACGGCTCTAAATATCTACCACACTGAAGAACCATTTCCTCATCAGTGAGGAGATGACAGGTTATTAACTTTATTTTTTCTCTTTTTTTGTTAATAAAATCCTTCATGGATTAAGCAAGCAGCAAGTTAATCCCAATGGAAGATATGTAAGATTAAAGACAAGGCACAAAGGCTCCTCGGGGTGCTTAGCTGTTACATCTGCCCATTTAAAATCCTCCTCTGGCTGTGCTTGAGTGGTGTGATGTGCTAGGGTGAGCATGGGTGATACGTGATACCTCCTGCTCTGCATTCACCTGGCTGGGGCAGTCACATTTTGAGAAATGCTCATCAGAAAGTAAGGGGAGATAATCCTTATGCAGCAAATTCATCTGCAGTATTTGATAGCTTGTCTTCAACCCTGGCATGTCACAGTGGTGCTAATCTACAGACCCAATGGGTGAATTACCTCTCTGCTGGATTCAATAGTTCAGGTTTGACTTTAATGTTTATTGTATGCATTGGCCTATAATGTTAGGCTTTTGGGGGGGTTTGCCCTTGTTTTCCCAGAAGGGTTGAAGACATCAGGCAATCCCAGTCTGCCCTTCAGGCTGGATTGCACCCATCTAGCAAGTGCCTGATTTTATCCGATTGCACAGTGATGCTTACAGCCCATGAGGAATGTGGGAGTCCTGGCTTCAGTTTCTGACTGTGCTTGACGATTGAATCCACATGGCTACAAGGTATTTAGGATGGAGATAATCCAGATATTAATTAGATGCAGAAACTGGGAGCCAGAATTCCCTTCTCCCAGGTGGTTGCTGAATCAAGTTAGGTTCTGGAGTACTATTTGTTCTTACAACTATGGCTTCATAGTCAGGATGTAACAGCAAATGATTCTCCATTTATTTGAGGAAAGTGATTTCTCCATTTATTTGAGGAAAAAAATAATTTCACTTCAGTGGAAATATCTTATGTTGATTTTCACTGAACTGACCGATGCTGAGTATTTGTTCGTCTTTTTTCTATCTACAAACATTTTACCAACTTCCATCACAAGCCAAGAGGACTGCAGTGTTTCTTGTCTTTATGGTTTGACAGTGCACATTAAAGGTGAAGTGGTTCTACCTTGTGATTATTTTTTTTTTTCCGGATCTACAGAACAGAGTCTGCAAACTACAGCTATCATGTTAGGAATATATTCAAAAGAGATTACATCAGTACCTAAGGTGGCGAGTTTTAAAATTTAACCAAAGCTGCTCAAGGAGAATGTTTATTTTTGTTTGGGTTTTGTTTTGGGTGGGGTTTTTGTTTTATGTTTTTCTGTAACAAGCAATTTCTCAGTTTTGGTCTTTATTTCATAAATTATTACTAAACACAAGCATGTCTACTTTTTTTTGAATGCTCCAGTACTGCTCTTTGCTTGATTTTTTTTTTTTTTGCCAGTTTACTGTTCAGTAATAGACAAGCCATAGTGATAATTATATACACATATGTATTTGCTATTCAGAGCTGGCAAATACACATACGGTGAATAAATTCTTTCACAAATATAGTGATGCTTATACTTGCAGAAGTAAGGGATACAAATAAGAAAAAAGTAATGGGTACATTATGGAATTGAAACGACAAGAAAGTTTTAGGCAGTTACACTGCAGTTATTCAAGTTGTAATCTGATGTTGTCATCTGTCTGAAAATGTTTATTTTCAACTTCCTGACATGAATTTTGCCTTGACTAACTGCAGTACACATTACAAATAATATCTCTGCTACAACTATCAAAGTAAATAGGCATACTACACAGACACAGCATCTCAGGAGTATCATATTATCTTTGTTAAACAGAATTAACGTTCAGCCTGTATGCTCCCTCACATGTAAAAAGGACCCTTTCTCAGCATTTACATGGCTTCATTGGTATCATTTGAATGCCAAAATTCTGTATATAATTTCTGATGCTAGAATAAAATGGATATACTTTTAATTGCAAATTAGTTTCCAAGCACCCCAGCCTTATCAGTGTGTTGGTTTGTCCCACTCAGAAAAGCTCCCTTCAGTACAAGATCAGCAGTGAAATTGCAGGGACTTGCAGATAGATTTGAATAAACCCATTTCTATGAAGACATAAGGAAGAAATGATCAGAAGGTCAAAGGTCAGAGCTCCCTGTTTAATTTTTTAATGATTTCCAATTCTTGACAAGGTTCCCAGTATCAACATTCTGCTCAGTTATTTGCCCAGCACTCATCCTATTCATATTTGATATAGGATAATTAGCAACTGGCCTTGAGAAGTGCAGCCCTTTCTACCATCTGCGCAATCAATGTTAGAAAGTGTTCTTCTTCCTAGGGATAGCCATGTATTTTCTGTATAGCTCTTGATTTATTAAAAGGGATGTAATGATCATGAAAAGTGTTAAACTTACAGCCTTCTATTGACAGTAGTTCTGTTTAGCTTCATTAGATGTGATGCTAACATCTGTCTGGTGAAATGGAGACCACCTGCTCATTTTATGTAAGTTCAAATACTCATCAATTGCTAAAGACCTATATATTCAGCACATTAAGCAGTGCCAATGATAAGAATGAAAGTTATTTGTGGTTCCTTTTCAACCTTGCAATTTTATCTTTTATTGAACTATTGTATTATACTTTCTGTAATTCTTTGTAAGCAGGCAAGAGTAACGGGCCTTTGTCCTTTCAAGCTGGCAATTTAAATTCCACTAAGATACCAGCCTGAGGTGGCAGTGCTAATTTCACTGATTGGCATGAGGACTAGAGAATGCACAGGCTTTGAATGATGAGATGTGTAAATGGTTTGTAAACACTGGAAAAATAATGACATTCTCCAGCATGGCTTGCCAATAGTAACAGGTGACATTAACATGAATTTACAGTAAATACTTATAAAAATGAACCCATTTTTTGCTGGTCCATGACATACAAAATGATGTCTCACCTCTCCCTTAAAAACCAATGGAGTCTAAACTCCTCTGTACACAGCAACCTCTGTCGTACTTCATTCTAATCATAGAATCATAGAATTGTTAGTGTTGTAAAGGACCTTAAGATCATCAAGTTCCAACCCCCCTGCCATGGGCAGGGACACCTCCCACTAAACCATGTCACCCAAGGCTCTGTCCAACCTGGCCTTGAACACTGCCAGGGATGGAGCATTCACAACCTCCCTGGGCAACCTATTCCAGTGCCTCACCACCCTTACAGTAAAGAATTTCTTCCTTATATCCAATCTAAACTTCCCCTCTTTAAGTTTTAACCTGTTACACTTTGTCCTATCACTACAGTCCCCAATGAAGAGACACAATAGTATATATACATAATAGTCATACATAATAGTATGTATAGTACTTAGTGTAGTAGATAGATATAGTAGACAAAATAGTATCTTTAAGCACAACAACTATTACTTTCTTTCACGTCTGGCAAGATCCTTTTTCTTTCTCCTAAGGGAATTTATACTATGATGAATAAAAAGAGAGAGATAAATGATATTAAAGCTATGTCAACCACAGCTAAACAAATATCTTTCTTTATCAAAAAGGCAGACCATTTCCTACATCATAAAGAGATTATTTTTTTACAGGCTGTTCTAACAAAGTCCTAGAAAACTCTCCTACTATTAAATTAGTATGTCTGTTCAGCATGCTTGCATACCAAATGGGAATTTATGCTGTGTTAGCCAATAATGCGCTTGCAGGATTTTTACCTTAATAGAAACTATGATCTTAATAAGCATATTAAATTGGAACACAGGATCTGATGATGTACATTTTATTTTGCTACTAACAGGCTGAATTACATGCTAAAGGTTTGCTGTCAAATAGAAACCTAGCCAGTCCATAAAAGTGATTTAATGACAGATTCCTGTAGTGCAGTATTCCTGCATCTCCCTTTAACTACTGCGGTTTTAAAATCCATCTTTTCTCATCTCATTTACAAAAATGTTTCTCTTTTGAGCATTATGAAAAGTGAAAAGGGGTCCAAGCATGTAGGTGAGCTAGTGAAGCCTGCCACATATGATGACATAAAAGCTGTCCGCATTAAATGCAGTAGGAAAACACTAGTAAGGAGGAATTCTCACAAAAAGTACAGTCACATATGCAATAAAGACATTGAAAATAGGCAATAGCATTGTCACTGCTATGTATCTCCCAAACTGAATAAATTAAGCCTTTTCAGAGGGAAGTAAATGTTTTTTGAAATAGATGGATAAACTTTGACTATTTAAAACAAAGTATTTTCTTACCAGTTAAAGTCTGCTGAAGCAAGTGGGAGCATTTACGACTGGGAAGCATCTGAAAAAAAAACTTTGCTTTTTAACTTTTTTGTCCTAGGAAGATATTCTATAGCTGCACTGCATGATTTTCCCTTGTATTTAATCACTGTAATGTGTGATTCCTTCTCTACCTTTCCCACTTTAGGCACAATACAATCTTGAAACCCAGCTCCATAATTTTGATATGCATATAATTTTACGTAGTTGATGAATCCAGCATGCAATGGTAAACAGCAGGGAGGGGCACAATGGAAACTCATTTGTTAGTTTTCCCACTTGGAGGCAGTTATTTTTATAAATTACTGATATTGGACACTGTAGGAGTGCCCTTTTTCATGTACACTGAAGTACTTCACTGGCCCCAGGAGTCACTAAGACTAGTGGATTTTAATAGTTATAGATCTTAAATGAAGGGTTAGAAATTGTTTCTTTTCATTACAATTACAACAAGGAATTAACCCCAAGGGTATCCACTTAATTTCATAATATATAGACTGGAACGCTAATAATGTGTCTCTACTAAAATGTAATAAAGAAGCAACTGCCCCTTGGTTCCCTGGGGTAGATTTTTGTAAAATGTATTGCAAAAAATGTAACACAAAGAAGATTTTATGTTAACAAGCTTTGTAATGTCACTAGCTCCAGTGCTCAGAGTGCTCTGAAGCTCACAGACACCAAGCACTGGCACTGTTTTTACAGTGGAATTTAGTACCAGCATTTCCGTATCGCTTCACTGATACAAGTTAAAACTAAAACAGTGATAGGAGTGGAGGGTAATTTACAATTAAGCACATAAAGAAGTGAAAGAGCAGAAGGAGGAAGAGGGAGTACAGTAGTACAAAGTAATTACTTCCTTCAAGGTCCACTTGGACCTATCCACCAGCCAAGTTTCCTGTGTTATTTTAATCTTCCATGCCCTATTGCAAAACAAACCTTGGCCTTACAATTGGCAGCAAGTGAACTTCAGTACATTTGCAGTTCCATTCGCACTTGTGAGTAGCAGAGTAGCCTCTGACCTCTCAGTCATTATGGATAGTGAGTGTGGAACAAATTCCTCGCCAAGATCTTACTGGATCAAGCCATGGTTTTAAATCTAGGTTAAAGACATTTCTATTTGCTGATTATTTTAGTGGGTCTGACTAGATACAGTATCCTGGGAAAGCTTTGCAGTAAAGACAGCAGAAAAGAAGCGCACTAGATGTGCCTGTTCTGTACTGAAAGGAAAAACATGCAGTTAAAAGAAAAGTCTGTTTTGTTTTGGTTTTATTTCTAATTGTAACGCTTCTAGGCATTTCTAATAGAGGTTCTAAGATTGTTGCTTCTTAAAGAAAATTCATTAGGGAAGAAACTGTTGGCCAGTGTTTTTTAATTATGCATGATATGCCCAGATTTCTGTGCATCTACTTATGTTGCAAACACCCTGTTTGCAGCAGCAAATTTAAATAAATTGCCTGAATAATCATAGGCATATGCAAATGCTCAGCTGATGTGTTTTTACTCATCCCCTAAAATTGGGTACCCCCAGAGCTACTTGAGTATGGATTTTACCTATAATTTGTGGCTTGTACACATTTATTGGACTCCTACTCTCAAATGCTGGAAATCCAAAGTTATGATCTTTGAACTAACTTTTCTAGTTAAACTGATAGCTCCCATTCAATTTATGTAAAATTTTCTATAAAGATGCAAAAGCACCTGTCTTTAACAAAAGTTACTGTTGCTAACTGTCAGAGATATGCCAAGGCAAGAGAGAATAGATGTCTAGAAGGCTGCCAAGAAAAAGAATGGAAATTGAAAGAGTGAGATAGCACTGTTCACTAACACAGTACATGGCAATGCATCCAGCAGTACATTACAAGCAGAGGTGGGAATGCTAAGCACCGTATATGCCTACAATTGACATTGTATGGACCTGACAGGAAGAGGCATAGCAGTGTCTATTTTAAAGGTTAGGAGATCAGATCAGAAAGATTACAGAATCGCAGAACGGCTGAGATTGGAAGGCACCTCTGGAGGTCATGTTGTCCAGTCCTCCTCCTCAAGAAGGTCTACCTAGGGCCAGGTGCCAAGGACCATGTCCAGATAGCTTTTGAGTATCTCCAAGAAGGGAGATTCCACACACTCTCTGGCAACCTGTGCCAATGTTCAGTCACCCTTACAGTAAGAAGTGTTTCCTGATGTTCAGATGGCATTTCCTGTGTTTTATTTTGTGTCCATTGCTTCGTATCCCATCACAGGACACTAGTGAAAAGAGACTGGCTCCATCTTCTGTGCACCCTCCCTTCAGGTATTTATGCATATTGATGAGATCACCCCTCTCTAGGCTGAACAGTTCCAGTTCTCTCAGCCTTTCCTTGTAGGAGAGATGCTCTAGTTCCTTAATCATCTTCATGGCACTTCTCTCTAGTATGTCCATGTCTCAGTTATATTGGGATGCTGAGAATTGGACATAGTGCTCTAGGTGTGGCCTGGAGTGCTGAGTAGAGGGGAAGGATTGCCACCTTTGACTTGCTGTCAATGCTTTGCTGAATGCAGCCCAGAATACTGTTAGCCTTCTTTGTTTAAAAAACAAATAAACAAACAAGAGGAGTGCCTCTGCAGCTGGCACTTCCAGCTCGCAGTGAAGTACAGTGGGTTGCTTTCTACTGAGACGCCTTTGTGCCATTTCAAGCCTTCACTCACTTTTTTCTCTTAATTTTTTTGCTTTTCTTTTTCCATTTCTAATTTCCATGGGAAGTCACCTCAAAATTTTGACTGATAAGCTCCATCTAAAAAAAACCTAAAACAAAGCAAAACAAAAACCCCCAGAAAATAATCTGGGAGAAAAATCTAAATTCATAAGTTTTGCCAGACAGTTTCAGTTAATTTTATTTTACTGTTATTAAATTTGGCATTTCTGGGCTTTTTCTTTTTTTTTTCCTTTATTGGCATTAGATTAATACTGGGGAAAGATTTACATAAGACAATTTACATTTTAGCTTTCATCACTTTCTCCAGTTTGCAGTGTTAATGTTCTTAAATGTATCCTGAAGCCAGTATACTCAGTAAGAACAACA